TACTACTTTTCACCTTACTCCTTGGATTATTGACTCTGGTGCATCTGATCATATGACTGATGCCTATCATTTATTTTCCACATATTCCCTTGTTCTGGTAACTTGAAAGTAAAAATTGCAGATGGTACTTTATCCCCAATAGATAGCAAAGGTAGTATCCGTATCTCTGAATTTCTTACTTTGGAGGCTGTCCTTCATGTTCCTAATCTCTCTTGAAATCTCTTGTCCATTAGTTAGCTAACCAAACAATCTCATTGCTCAGCTACGTTTTTGTCTTCTTATTGTGTCTTTCAAGACCTATCATCGGGAAAGATAATTGGCCGTGCTAAGGAATGCGATGGGATCTACTACTTTGATAATGCTCATGTGAGTAAACAGTGTCGTCCTCCTATTTGTAATTCTGCATCTAGGGATAATGCCCTTTCGTTATGGCACAAACAAATGGCCCATCCTAGTTTTCAATATTTAAACAAGTTGTTTCCTTCACTTTGTTCAAATAAAACTCCCTTGGATTTACAATGTGAAGTTTGCGAACTTGCAAAACATAATCGCACTACTTTTCCTACACCCACTTATAAACCATCAGTACCTTTTACCTTGATTCACTGTGACCTTTGGGGGCCTTCACGGGTTCCCAATAAGACCCACAAAAAGTGGTTTATTACCTTTATTGATGACCATTCTCGTCTCTGTTTGGTGTATTTACTAAACGATAAATCTGAGGTTAGTTCTGTATTCAAGAACTTCTACACTATGATTCACATCCAATTTCAAACAAAAATCCAAATCTTTCGTACTGATAATGACACTAAGTACTTCAGTCATTCTTTAGACACCTATCTTAAAGAAAAATGCATTATTCATCAGAGTTCTTGTGTTCACACCCCCCAACAAAATGGGATTGCTAAACGGAAAAATCGACATATTCTGGAAGTAGCTCGTGCCCTATTGTTCAACTCTAACTTGAAAAATACTTTCTAGGGTGATGCAATCCTAACAGCCGCATTCCTCATCAATCGACTGCCTAGTCGGTTTTTCTCATTTGCCACCCCTCTCCAAAAATTCCAAGAGACCTTCCCTGATTCTCGGCTCGGTTTGTCTCTCCCCCTTCGTGTTTTCGGGTCCACGGTGTTTGTCGACATTCACGTCTCCCAACGAAATAATTTGGGTCTTAAAGCTCTCAAATGTATCTTCCTTGGCTACTCTCCCACTCAGAAGAGGTACACATGTTATGACCCTATCTCATAGAAATTATATGTTAGCCAAGATGTCACATTCTTTGAGCATACTCCCTACTACTCGCTTCAGGGGGAGTCCAAGAGTGAAGCTCGAGACTCAGACCTGGACTTTGATGTTGCGATAATTGAATCTACCCCATACAATCCACCCTCTCATTCCTTGCCCAACACAGAAGGAATCTTGAACTCAGGGGGAGACGTGGGAAAACAAAAAGACGGGGAGACACTTGTCTACTTAAGGAGACCAAAATTAAAGCTAGGTGAGACTCTCGCATTTGAAGTACCAAAAGAGTTAGAACCGGTGATAGCTCCGACTTCGCCTGAGCCAAATCCCAATCCTGACCAGGTAATAAATCTTGATGACTTACCCATTGCTCTTAGAAAACAACCTCGTTTATGTACTCTCCATCCCATCTCAAAATTTGTATCTTACAATACTCTTTCTACCAAGTGTCGTGCTTTTACGTCTAACCTTGATAGAATCCAGATTCCTAAGAATATTCAAGAAGCCTTGGAGATTCTAGAATGGAGAAAATCAGTGATGGAAGAACTAAGTGCATTAGAAAAAAATGGAACTTGGGAGGTGATGACTTTGCCAAAGGGGAAGAATAAAGTGGGCTGTAAGTGGGTGTTCATGGTAAAGTACAAGACAGATGGCACAGTAGAATGGTACAAAGCCCGGTTAGTTGCAAAGGGGTTCACTCAGACATACAATATTGACTACACCGAGACATTTGTACCAGTAGCAAAGCTGAATACTTTACGGGTCCTCTTATCTTTGGCGGCAAACCTGGATTGGCCATTCCATCAGTTTGACATGAAAAATGCTTTTCTAAATGGTGAGTTGGAAGAAGAAGTGTTCATGACGCTACCACCAGGATGTTACAAGAAGGAAGAAGTAACCAGAGTATGTAAATTAAGGCCCCGTTTGGTACCCATTTTTTCTAAATGCATTTTTCTCTCTCTCTTCATTTTAACCACACATTCTTTATTAAAATAATATTACACGTAAATCAAAAATTATTCCTTATTTTACTATTCAAAAATGTATTTTTACATAAAAAGTCTCCCAAACACCTTCTAAAGAAATCCTTGTATGGACTCAAATAATCACCGAGAGCATGTTTTGATAGATTTACGAAGGTGACAAAGAATCAAGAATACCAACAAGGACAATCAGATCACACTATGTTCTTCAAACAATCCAATGATGGAAAGAAGACCATCCTAATTGTGTATGTCGACGACATCATCCTCACTGGAGATAACACAGGAGAAGTGGAGAGATTGAAGAAGGTCTTAGCCTGAGTGTTTGAGGTAAAAGAAGTAGGTCAAATGCTATACTTTCTAGGAATGGAGTTCGCTAGATCAAGGAAGGGAATTAGTGTCTTCCAGAGAAAGTATGTACTCGACCTTTTGATTGAGACTGGTATGCTTGGTTGTAAGCCAAGCAATACTCCGATCAAGGTAGGAAAAAGAACAGAAGACATTGGAAAGCCAGTGGATAAAGAAAGATATTAGAGACTAGTAGGTAGATTGATCTACCTCTCTCACACTGGACCTGACATTGCTTTCACTGTAAGTGCGGTTAGTCAGCACATGCATTCACCAAAGGAGAGTCACCTGGAGGCAGTATATAAGATTCTCAGATATCTGTCGGGCTCTCCAGGGTGAGGTGTATTCTTTAAGAAAGGAGATAATAAGAAGGTAGAGATCTATACAGATGTATATTGGGCAGGATCAGCCGAAGACAGAAGGTCTAATATCGGCTATTGTACCTACGTTTGGGGAAATCTAGTAACATGGAGGAGTAAGAAGAAAAGTGTGGTAGCCAGAAGTAGTGCCGAAGCTGAGTTCAGAACTGTTGCACAAGGGATGTATGAAGGGCTATGGTTACAAAAGCTTTTGGAAGAACTACACATCACAGCAGAGCTCCCCATCAAACTCTACTGCGACGATAAAGCTGCTATCATCATTTCCCATAATCCTGCTCAGCACGACAGAACTAAACATATAGAAGTTGACAGGCATTTTATCAAGGAAAAGATTGAAAAGGAGACAATCTGCATGACCTATATCCCTACAAGAGAACAATTAGCAGATATATTCACTAAGGGATTACAGAGGTCCAGCTTTGAAGAGTTTATCTATAAGTTGGACATGATCAACATCTAACTTGAGGAGGAGTGTGGAAATCTCGAATGATTTGAAGGAGATTTGGAGAAGATTGAGGTCATAGCAAGATCCGATATCTAGGCTGATTTTATGGGTGGAATTTTATGTTTCCATATTTTTGTTCTCTTTGTACATGTTAAATAGGTATCCAAGTATGTAAAGAATATAAAATAATTGAATGAAATAATTGTTTCAACTTTCATATTCTCATTGTCTTCACAACCTTTAATTGAGATCTTTATCAGTGTAAACACGCAATATTATTTGGAAACCAAGTAAAGTTTGATTAATTTAGAACACTTATATGATGTGCAAGGTTGTTCTAGACCAATTTTAAATACCTACAAGCTAAGAAAAATAACAAAATAATAAAAATGATCCTTGCACTGTGAGCAATACTCATAGAACAAAACTCGGGAACGAATAAAAGTTAAATCAACATTTGGTTTATTTTTAAATAAGATAAAATATACAAATATTTATATTCTAACCAAGGAATGTTTATGAATTAATTTCGCTAGTGGTCATTAAAGTTCAAAAAATACAATTTCAAATTGCTCATTAAAGTATTATTGTACCTAGTTAGTCATTAAAGTTAAATATTATTAGGAGTTCTATTACACGTACAAAACAATTTTTTACATACCATACAGAATACACAGAGCATGGGGTGGGTGGATTATTTTTTGAATTATTTTACTCACATGGGGTCCCCTCCCCATGAGAGTATCTGGAATTCTTCTGTAGGGAGAAATTTCGCGCACACACAGAATTTTCCTATTATTATATAACCAATTACTCAATTAGTAGGTTAACACATTATCTTGCATGATAATTGTTAAATCTTTACGTGGACCAGTGGTTATCAAAGCAACTAATTTCTTCAGGCCGATCTCTTCCAGGGTGTAAGTGGTTCGGTTTCATCAAAATTTGACCTTTTTTTAGAGAAATATCCAAACCCAAACCAAGTAACTTATAACAATTTTCTCAAACATAAACTTAACTGTTTAGTTAAATTATAAATCGTAATTTGTTGTAAAGTTTTTTTTTTATTCATTTTTCATATTTTATTAGCAATAATATAAATTTAAAAAAACTATATATATGCGTCAAACTATAAATTTAGATATCAGTGGATTCAAAGTAAGGTCATAAAAGGCCATCAGCATTGGGCACCGAAGTCGTCATTGTCGCAAACTTGAGAGAGTGAAAATTGTTGGTAGTGTAGAGCTTTATGGTTCTGAATATTTGCTGCTTGAAGACTAAATACGAAGAGGGTTTGTATGCAATAATAATTGATTGGTAGTGTAATTATGAAATCAGTGAAATTATTGGTATTTGGTAATAGAATAATGATCAGTTGGAGAGACGATGGAGAAACTGACTCCAATAGTTTGATCAGTTTGGAGTTTTATCAACTTATTAAACATGGTCGTGGGAGGTTTTACTTTATTTTAGGGCACCAATCTAAATTGTTATTTTTCAGAGTTACGAACCTAATTTTATCATTTCTCATTTATAATTATGAAGAATTAAAATAAAAAGAAAAAGAAAATCGAAGAGAGTATTGTTGGAGTCAAAAAAATTGAATAATTCTACTGTCACCATAGTAGCACATTCGCCTTCGCGCAACCTCAAAACCTAACACCAGCCAAACCCTAATTCTCATTGTCTCCTTCATTCTCCCGAAGTCCCCAGTCCTCAATTTCTACTCCAAAATGCCTCTCTAACCCTAAACTCTCTCTGCACGCTCTCATTTTTCATCTAAGTCCCTAAATTTGCTCTTTCTCGACAAACAATTCTCTCAGTCCACGACCATGTCAAACGACGGCGCATCGGCACCACTCGATCGACAACCCGACCAGACTTCACCCCCTCCATCTCAACCAGCACCCGGTAATGCGTCTGATGGGGCCGTATTACCCCACTCCAATGGTAACAGTACTAATGATAACGGTGGACAGCAAAATGGTTTCGCTAATAGGCTGAGGCTCAACCCAAACGCGAATCACAAGCCGGATAACTATGAAGACCTGAATTTGGATTTTAGCCCGTATCTTTTCAGCTCATTGGAGAGGTACCTTCCACCCAACCTGCTTCTCATGTCGCGTGATGTGAAGGTCACGTATATGCGTGATATCCTTCTCCGGTACTCCCCTGAAAGTGAGCGCATCCGGGTCAGTAAAGCTGTATTAAACTTGTATATGATCTGTGTATGAATTAGATGTTTTACCCGTCAGTTATTGAATTTTGTGGAAGGGCACACTGTCTAATGCCAGTGGGTGTGGGTCTATATATAACAATAATCATTTATGTTCTAAGTGTATATGAATTAAGAATTAGTGCATTGAATTATGAAAAAGCTACATTGTGAAATGCACGAGGTACTGCATTGGTCTTGGAGGTTTACATTGCCCGCCATGCTTGGATGTGTTGTGTATAGATAACTATAGACTGTATAAGTATCTAAAAAATTAAAAATGTGTTGCCCTCATTATGAAGGATGGGTGTCATGCAGGCTGGCCCCCACCTGCCTGTAGACTCCTTTACATAATTGTGTGAACGTGGAAATTTGGTGATGAGGTTTTAGAAATGGATATTTCTGGAGAAGCATAGGATAGCACAGTGGATAGTAATATAGTTCTAAACCAGTGTGTTGAGTGCACCAAGATACAGATGTTTGGTGCAGTTGTGATGCCTAAGTCAGAAAAGATGCACGCGTGTAAATTCTAGGTTTATGGTCATTAGATTTTGGAAGCAGATATCTGGATAAAATGTAAACTTTGAATCATGAGGTACCACGTGATGGCGGATTAGATGTGTGTATATGTGGGAATGGAAGAGTGACTTGTAGGGTTCTGCGCTTGGTGATCAGGTAATGTACTATTTTGGAGGGAGGCATGAGCTAGAGAGATCATTTGCTTCTCATAGTTGTCTACTCATTGGATGGCTCTCTACGTGGTGCAAGTTGTCGTGTGAGAGTTTATGCATTGACATGGGAAATGATGCGTTAAATTTTTTGGAATGATCAAGTTTAGGAGGCAGAAACTTGAATAAATGGCACAATAAGTGGCTATGGTTTATTATTTGTTAACAACGGCTTAATAGCTTTTTCCTTGTGCATATATATCATGTCACTTTATGGATACTTGTGCATGCATTAATCTGGGTATTAAGATGTTCAAGTCTTTCAAGGGAATGGTTAAAATTATGGTGCGTATAAAATATTGTACCTGAACTGGAAGTTCAGCTTAATGATTTATGTATGCATTTTACTGATTTTTGGCACGATGAAATCTTCTCTGACCTTACTTTTGGAACGGACAATTGGAGGAGTGACAGAGGCAAGGGGGAGTATGCTATTTTGTTTTATTTTGGTGGTCATGGGGATCTGTAAATTAGCCAAAACTAAGCCTAGAAATATTGTATGGCTTCAAGTTTATTTGAATGAATACATGCCACGTGTATGGAGGCAAGGTTCTTGTCGCGAAGAAAGATTGTGTGGCTTCATGTTTATTTGAATGAATACATGCACACGTGTATGGTGGCAAGGTTCTTGTTCTCTGTCTTTTATTATTATTTACTTTATATATTTATTTTTGGCCCGGGGGGAGGGGGTATGATTCTATAAATCTCGTGTTTGTCTTACGTGTTTAAGTTGAGTGGTGATTGAAGTAAGACAGATGCAGGAATAGAAATTGTTGTTTAGCTACGTGTCTGCCAGTGTAACTATTGAGAATTTACTACTGCTCTATTTTAACAGCTTCAGAAGCATAGAGAATACAGGCAGAAGATTATATCCAACTATCAGGTACATTTTATTTCTTAAATTGTTGCCTGATGGCAAGTATAATAATTCTAAATTAAATGAGTAAATTATGATCTATTTAAGGAATGTCTTGAAGCTTGATTTTTCAAGTTTCAAAGACATCGTGACGATGAAACACTATTGAACAAGAGGAAGAGGGGGAGAGAGAGAGAGAGAGAGAGAGAGAGAGTTATGAAATTCTTTTCATAAGAATTATGTAATAAACAAAAATGATATTTGAACTATAATGTCATGTATATGTTGAATATTAATTGATTGTTGTTGAAAAGTGTGCAGTGCTTCTATATTTATCGGTAAAATTATTCCCTACTTCTACTGCTACTAGGAAACTTCTACTGCTACTAGGAAACTAATGTAAGGGAACTAAAATAAATCCTAATCTAAAAGCAATTAGAAATCCTATTTTAAACAAGAAATAAGAATAAAAAGATAAACCTATTACAACTGGACATCTTATTATAATTATCTTACTTTTATCCTATTTATAAATAGGATTGTCTTTCATCAATCTCCCCCACATGAAAAAAACTCGTCCTGGAGTTTTGTTGAAAAAAAAAAAATTCTTGATAACTTGTGTGTTTTCGAACTTGGCTGGGGCTTGAGGAAATTCTTTAGCCACATGTCGTGTTCCATACTTGTTGGAGAAACTAACATTCATAGCAGTTAATGTTTCAAATTCTTGTCAGCTTGCTTCTCTATGAGCTCGCGATTCCTTTCAGGATTCAACGCAGTCAGCATTTGTGTGTTGTGAAGGGTTTCGTCGATCCCTAAATTTGTTTGAGTTTGTCGAGCCTCTATTTGTCTTCGACGGTTCGACTGCCACAGGACCATTGTCAATCATCGGATTAAGGCAATTTCTTTGCTCTGATACCAATTTTGGTGCAGAAGCGTTATGAAATTCTTGTAATAAGAATTATGTAATACATAAAAACGATATTTGAACAATCATGTCATGTATATATTGAATAATAATTGATTGTTGTTGAAAAGTGTACAATGCCTCTACATTTATATATTTGTAAGAAAAATTATTCCCCAATACTACTATTACTAGGAAACTAATATAAGGGAGCTAAAATAAATCGTATCCTAATCTAAAAGAAATTAGAGATCCTATTCTAAACAAGAAATAAGAATAAAAAGATAAACCTATTACAACTAGATATCTTATTATAATTATTAAACTTTTATCCTATTTACAATAGGATTGTCCAACATCAGAGAGATAATTTAGGGGAAGATTATCAAGTTTTATTTCATGTCAAAGTTGTAAGTATTACAATGCAAAAGTCCCCTTTATATAAGGTTTCAAACAACCTATTATAAGTACGAAACATTTAATAAAATCCTTGAGAATTTAAGAAAACACTAGAGAATCCATCAAATTTACGTAAGAAACAATTATTAAAATACGAGAGAATTTATTAAATATTAGAGAATCTAAAACTAAGTGATAGGTCGTTGACCTAGCGATCAATATCACACAGAAATGATTTTCGATAACACCATGCAAATCAGACAAGTGATATATTAGCACGACAACTCAAGCTGTGAAAGTCAAAAGAATTTTTCAAGATTACCGAGTCAATCAAGAAATGACTGGGGGACCAACCAGACCATCAAAGTCCCACAGTTCTAAGTGAACTCGCCTAGAAAGGTAATGAATGTCTTAAACATAGTCCTAGACTTGGGATACTTGTATTGAAAAGGGAAAAACACATTATTCTGGTGACAACCTAGGATCTTCGTGTAGCTAGAAGAGTTGATATAATAATTGTGCATGAAATAATTGTAAACTATCACTTAACATGCGCACAATAGAGGTTAAAAACTCTTAACAAAAGAATGATTTGATTTTTATTTTTTAGAGTTTTTTTAAAACAAAATGACTAGCCAAATGCTTGAACAAAATAAAGTTATCAAGATAGCAAAATGTCTACCCAAGCGGTTGATATGGAGCCAACCGTAGGCAAAATCATTACCTAAGCCTTCAGCTTTCCATGCGACTGCACCAGTGTGGCTCCTTGATTGGAATTGAGCAACAACAATACCTAACAGCTGTTTTTTTCTTCGATTTTCTTCTTTTTGTATTTTTTCATTTCAAACTAAGAACTAGTCTAATTCAAAATTCTGCTTAATGGTGAATAGTTCCGGCGATAAGAAAGTTATTTTTTAGTCGAAGGAACAGTATCTATGAACGATGTGTTTTTTTAGGTGGTTGCAAGTGAAAGTTGTTTGTGGAGGGTGACATTGACGTCTAGTGTATATGAGGTTGTGCGTGTGTGATTTGTTTATTGGTTTGACGGTGGATGCACTAATTTTTTTTGAACTTGAACATTTATCAAAACTTCGTGAATTTGTTTGGCCAACGGAATACAACTCTCTTTGATACTAAATTGATGAAGAAATACAATTCAACCAGAACAAGATTTTGAAAGAAAGGAAGAGAGAGGAGAAAGAGAAGAAGAGGGACGTTGGTTAAAATATTAGTTTTTAACTTATTTTAATTTAAAATAGTCTAAAGTAATTTTTTTTAAAACTTATTGCATCATATATAAATAATTAAATAATAAATAGAAATCAAACTTGACATTAAATTCATACATGTTTTTTGATAACACAAGTTCAAAAATTAAAGCGTGGGTAAAATGGTAAAAAAAAAAAAAAAATTAATTCAAGGCAAATTTTACATGTTGCTTTGTTAAAGAATAAAGCTGGAAAAAAAAAAGTAAATTAAATATATGCTACAAAAAGAAATTTTATGGTGCATTTAATGTTATTTGGTCCAACAATTTGAATTGAAAATCACATTGGTTTACATCCACAAACTTTTCATTTCCAGTCATGTTTCTTCATTTCCTTCTTTCTTCTTCCTCAGTCTTCTTCTTCCTCGATCTTCTTCTTCACAGTCACCAGCCACCATCTTCTTCACAGTCTGCATTTCTTCTTCCAGCCACATGTATTTTTTTCTCCGAGGCACTTCGACGATGTGTCGGAGACGTACCGATATTCGATACGTGTCGGACACCAATGCATTAATGCTAACAGTGTGTCCGTACTTCCATATTCTCTTTATATAAGGTTTCAAGGAACCTATTTGGAAACATTTAATAAAATCAGAATCTAACAAAATACTAGAAAATCCATCAAATTTGGGCAAGAATTAACTATTAAAATGCTAGAGAATCTAAAACTCTAATTACGTATACAATTTAGAAAGTCTTTCATATAATATATCTTCTAGGATCTTCATCATATCATCGCTTAATGGTACTCCAAGGATGAAGAATTGCTCAATGTCTGAGAATCTAAAACTCTAATTACATTTACAATTTAGGAAGTCTTTCATATAATATATCTTCTAGGATCTTCATCATATCATCGCTTAATGGTACTCCAAGGATGAAGAATTGCTCAATGTCTGGCCACCTATTGATTTTTCTTAACCTTCTACAGTGAAAAAACTTATCAGTGTAGAAAGGAATTTGAGTTTACAAGTTCTATGTTTGTATAAATCTATTTATGAGATATCTAGTACTCCTACCTTGATATGGTTGGAGGATATTCATGTACTTTTGGAAATGCTTCAATTATCAATTTTTTGTCAAAAGAGATCTGAGAGTATAAATTTGTAAAATTCTCATCTCCATGGCATGTATGATGCCATTGTTATCCTTTCACCACCCTATATTAATTTACCGGAACTCTCTCCTTTTTTCAACAAATAATTGCTGATTATTTGTAAACAATTTGTTGAACTTACATTTGCCTTTTCAGCGCCTACATAGGGAGCTTTACACCATGCATGTTACAACCTTCTTTGTTCCCTCCTTTCTGAAGGCAATCAATGAGAACACCGAACAAGGTTTGAGAAATATAATGTCAGAACCCACTCCTGGAATTTTTACATTTGAAATGCTTCAACCGCGTTTCTGCGAAATGTTGCTGACTGAGGTATTTTGTTACCTTCTCATCATCATTCAGCATTCAGACTTAATTCTTACTAGCAGTTTAGTTTTTATGTTTTCTTATCAGGTTCTGATTGCTTAGGTAGAAAATTTTGAGAAGTGGGTCCATGAGACGAAATTCAGAATCATGAGACCTAATACAATGAATAAGTATGGTGCCGTTCTTGACGATTTTGGTATGGAAACCATGCTTGATAAGTTCATGGAAGAATACATACGCCCGATATCTAAAGGTATCATTCCAATCCTAATGAATTAAGTATGATGAGTAGATATTGATTTCAATATAATCTTTGGATTGAACATCTTTTGCAGTTTTCTTTCCTGAAGTTGGTGGGTCAACACTTGATGCTCATCATGGTTTTGTGGTTGAGTATGGAATGGATAGAGATTTGGACCTAGGTAGGTGGCTATCTCTAAGCTAGCTTAATCCTCAACTCTTTTATTTTATTTATTTATTTAGTTTTTAATGGCATCTGTTGCCTGAATACTGTAAAACGTTACCTTGTTTAAATTTGTGACATGCAATTCTACATTGGTTAGAGAAATTCCAAGAGTTGTTTTTAAGGACTTGGTTGGCTACTTTGGTCTTAAGTGTTTTGTGCTAGTCCTTCAGGCTCCAACAAGCTGTCAAGGCATGCGGTCTAGCCAGGTTCATTTTTCTTGTTACCACAGTCACTTCTGTTGGATGAGTCTTGGCTTGTTATCTTACCTGCTTGTGGACCACAAGAATATTGTTCATTTGAGTGGGAAGTTTCTAATGGTACATGTCATATCAGTTAGATGGAACTTTTGAGAATGGTTTATCAAGACTATGTTAGCACTACTTGAGAAATCGAACTTGAGTTGGGAGTCGCACACTTAGCATGATTTTTTTGCTAATCTATTTATTGTTTGGTTCCGCTGAGTTCCTGTTATGAACACCTTAAAAGTTCTCGTGTAGGAATCTCAAGAGCTTCAGTTTTGTAGGTTTCCATGTGGATGACTCAGAAGTCACTTTAAATGTCTGCTTGGGAAAGCAATTTTCTGGTGGTGAACTGTTCTTCCGTGGTGTGCGTTGTGAAAAACATGTAAACACTGAAACCCAGTCAGAGGTAAGTGGTCTTTCCTGGAGTTACCTTTATTGGTGTACTTGGTACCTTTATGGATATTAATTTGTTTTCTTTCATAGACTGGTCTTACTGATATTGCATAAATTATAATTGAACTGTAAACACTTGAAAAGTAATCTTGATCGGTGAAAATTGCAGTTACCTTCTGTTATCCTGTTTTATGTAGCTCGCAATTGTGCAAAAAGAGCTGCAAAATGAGTTTTACAATCTGTCTTATTTCCAATTAGGTCGAATTTTTCTCCTTCTAGGATTTGCCTTGTGTTTTAATTGGACCAAGGAAACTGGTTGTTTGAACTACAATGTCTATTACTTTTCAAATAAAGTGTCTTAGAAATTACTCCTTGTGATACTTGGTTCTATTGGCACCCACTTATTGCTTGTTATAAGTTCTGATCCACCAGAGTATGGATTGGGAACTTCCTAAGTTCAGATTGCATTGGAGTTGAAGAAATTTTTAAAATATAAAAATGGAACACTAATGGTACATGTCATCTCAGTTAGATGGAACTTTTGAGAATGGTTTATCAAGACTATGTTAGCACTACTTGAGAAATCGAACTTGAGTTGGGAGTCGCACACTTAGCATGATTTTTTTGCTAATCTATTTATTGTTTGGTTCCGCTGAGTTCCTGTTATGAACACCTTAAAAGTTCTCGTGTAGGAATCTCAAGAGCTTCAGTTTTGTAGGTTTCCATGTGGATGACTCAGAAGTCACTTTAAATGTCTGCTTGGGAAAGCAATTTTCTGGTGGTGAACTGTTCTTCCGTGGTGTGCGTTGTGAAAAACATGTAAACACTGAAACCCAGTCAGAGGTAAGTGGTCTTTCCTGGAGTTACCTTTATTGGTGTACTTGGTACCTTTATGGATATTAATTTGTTTTCTTTCATAGACTGGTCTTACTGATATTGCATAAATTATAATTGAACTGTAAACACTTGAAAAGTAATCTTGATCGGTGAAAATTGCAGTTACCTTCTGTTATCCTGTTTTATGTAGCTCGCAATTGTGCAAAAAGAGCTGCAAAATGAGTTTTACAATCTGTCTTATTTCCAATTAGGTCGAACTTTTCTCCTTGTAGGATTTGCCTTGTGTTTTAATTGGACCAAGGAAACTGGTTGTTTGAACTACAATGTCTATTACTTTTCAAATAAAGTGTCTTAGAAATTACTCCTTGTGATACTTGGTTCTATTGGCACCCACTTATTGCTTGTTATAAGTTCTGATCCACCAGAGTATGGATTGGGAACTTCCTAAGTTCAGATTGCATTGGAGTTGAAGAAATTTTTAAAATATAAAAATGGAACAGTCAACCCGGTCTACGCATCTATTTAACATTGCATTTTAAATCAATTTTAAATTACACAACCTCAAGTTTGAAGTAGAAAGTTTGTGTGCCTAGAAGTCTAGCAGATTTATATCGGCGTTTGACGACTCAATTGGAATTCGTAATTGTATTTTTCATAGGAGATCTTTGATTACTCTCACGTCCCAGGACGAGCGGTTCTTCATCGCGGTCGCCATCGGCATGGTGCTAGAGCCACAACATCTGGAAATAGGATAAACTTATTGATTTGGTGCAGGAGGTAATTGACTCCCTAGCCTTTGCTCCTTTCTTCTGTCACTGGTTCAACATCTGAGAATCTTGGGTATTCTTCCCGATAAAATAAGAAAAATTGAGATAAGGAATTCTAATAATGTCATTGTGGTCTTGAGGAAAAAAAATGAAAATATGTTTACAGGAAAAGGAAATAATAAATATTGTCACTCCCACTCTAATCTTATCACTGACATCAGAACTGACTGATGCTGTGACTTCTTTCACAAAGAAAGTGGCAGTTGTTTTGGGTGGACTGCCTCCCGAATTTCTCTGATGGAGTTGAATCACTGATTCTGTAGACAACCAGCATCTATTTCAACTATATATTGTGTACTTACGCTGGTCTCATTTTAGCAATTTAATTGATTCTTAATTCAATCATGTTTTCCCATTATCAACCTTAACACTGACAATTCAGCTATGGAGGGCTTCCTTTCTTTTTATTATGTTAAGGATTTTATAACTGGGATTTCCTTCTGTGTAAAGGATTACAGATCATCTTTCTCCTTAATATTTCTGTAGAAAAAGCAGATTTTGCTTTACCTCTTTGAATGCCTTTTCGAGTATGTTTGCCTTGCATGCTACAAAAGTTGGAAGATGAGTCTTTTTTCTTTATCTGGATTTGTTCTATGATTGCGTTGGTTCGTCTTTCTCTCTTAGTTTCCATTTCATGCATCACGCATCTCTGATTTGATAAAAGAAGATGGAAAGAGAAATAAATTGAAGCAAGCCATAAATATCCTATTCCATTCGGTTTATGTAATTTTGTTGTTAGAAGCTTCAGGAATTTCGTAACCTATTGCATGCAGAGAATTGATTTTTCAACGTTTCCCCTCTTCTCCTAGCCACCTCTCATTACAAGGTCACTAGTGATTACTGGATTCCCATTACTGTTTAGCAATATCCACCCAGAGTCCACTAGAATGTCTAATCATGTATCATGATTTAAGTTGATATGCATACAAGTAATTACTTGCTGGACCACTTCTGCATAGGCACCGAAGTGTCACTAATTTTTATATTTATTGTAGTTGCATCTCTCCCATGGTTATGGCCTTTTGGGAATTAACTTTGTCTGTATATTCTTACATTTTTCATGTTATTTTGTTACTACTCCAGATGTTACTATATTCGTCTTCACAAAATTTAGTATCGATGTCTTCTTCCTGCAGTTCTGTATTCAGAGAGCTGAGGAAATATCAAAAGGATTTCTCCAGCTGGTGTGCGGAGTGCCAACGCGAGCAGAAAGAAAGGCAGCACCAATCTGTTTCTGCTGCCAAACTGGTAAAGATAAACTCTAGCTATCCCGATCTGAGGAAGTATCTTTAGCACTCCTATTCACCCTAATCTAAACCAACACCAATAATGGGCAATATTGGATTAAGTTTATCTCTCTCTTTCCCTCTCTCCCCTCCTCTCCCTCTCTCTTCTCTAGGACTTATTGTCTTTGGGATGTGTATTAGTTACCTAGTAAGAGTTCGTTGTCATTGCAATTATGATTTTCATACATTTTGGCTGAAGATGGCTCCATAGTGGGAATTAAAAATTTATATTCGCGAATACTTGTATTGTGCTAGTGTATTGGTGTAGCACAACAAAGAAGATAATGAACAATCGATAAGGACACCCTTAATTTGCCCGCATGCTTGTTCGAATCGATAATATGAACTGGAATAATGATCCAAAACTATGACGTTTAATTGATCGCAGAAAAACTGAGTTTTGATACCTACGGATGTGGTACTAAAAACAAGAAATTAGAAAAGGAAATAAGCAAAATTAAATGGAAAGGAAATAAATCAATCATTTTGTTCTAGCTCTAACACTAAATATCTTTAATTTAGTAGCAATGGTTTAAATCTATTCATCTTGCCCTTTAAATGATTCAGTCCCGTCGGCAATGATTCAGCAAAAGTAGCATTCAATTTATCCATGGACCTCTTAATTGACTCTTGTCAACTTTGGGTGTTCTGACCTAGCAAAAAATTCTTGTTCTACTTTTCCTATCGCATTATTTTCTCCTAGCCGAAGAAAATTCACTCTGGAATCCAAGTCGTTACTGTCAAGCAATGAGCTATTCCCACAATAAGGTACAATATGTTTGACATTAAAGGCATCTGAAGTTTTCATATGACTTAGGTATAGTTTGAGACAATGTGCTTCTAGGTTGACCCTTTTCTCTACTTCTACCAATCTAAATTTTATGTTGCTAACTTCCCACAATCATGCGCTAGCAAGTGATTGTTTCTTAACATGCCCAAATGAAACCCTCAGTTCAAACTCAACATGCCACCCACTCTCATCCTCATAGGATTTGCTTGCCAACTATATAAGAAACATTTTGGCCTGTTTCAATTTTCGTTCACGAAACCCGTGCTAACAAATAAAAATTTCCCTTAGTTGTAGTGCGAGTAGAGATGGCAATGGGGCGGGAGATTCCCCACTTAGTTGTAGTGGGGCGGAAAATTCTCCACATAATAATTAGACATTTCCCTTGGTTGTAGTGCGAGTAGGGATGGCAACGGGGCAGAAATTTTCCCACTTAGTTGTAGTAGGGCATGGGCGGGGCTAAGAAATTGGCCATATTGGGGTTGGGTCGGGACCGTGCCTGTATCCGTGGTCCTTGCCCCGCTCCTTACTAGCTTAAGCGAGGATGAGATAGGGAATGGGGTCCTCGCACGGAACTCGCCCCTTTGTCATTCCAAAGTGTTAAAAACTCCTGCATAATACTTACTAATAAAATCACTTTATTTACCTCAAAAACGAATTATAAGCATTCAAAAGTTTATCACATAGAGTTTTTCCATAGAGTCGCTAATTTTAACAGGCACAACAATTCTATTATTTTGTTAGAGGTCGATGGGGTTACTTATGAGGACCCGCAGGATATTGAGAATCAAATGGTGAGATTCTATCAAAATTTCTATCGAGAACAGTTTGACTGGAGGCCAAAGGTGAATGTAAAATCTACTAAAAAGTTTGATTTTAATCCTCTCTAAACCAGGGTTAATTATTGAGATTTTTAATATTGTAAATTATAGGGTTTAGGGTCACAAAGAAAAATGATCTAAATTCATTAACCTACGCCTTCGTCATTTATCTCTGTCTAAGAATGGCTAAGAAAAGTTCTCGAAGTTTAACTGAGAAAATATTTCGAAAAAGACGACAAAAAATATTATAGATTTTTTTTTTTTTTTTGTGTTTGAGTACGGCAGGTTTTTGAGAAGTTCTAATGCTACATTTATTGTGTTGATCCCCAAAAATTCGGGAGCAATTGACATTAAGGATTTTCGCTCTATTAGTTTAGTCAGCGGGACATACAAGATTATTGCGAAGATTATGGCGAATAGATTGAAGGAGGTGCTAGGAAAAGTGGTGACTAAGTGTCAAAATGCTTTTGTAAAAGGAAGGTAGATTTTGGATTCTGTGCTTATAACGAATGAATGCATTGACTCCAGATTATGTTTGGGGGTGCCATGGATGTTATGCAAGCTTGATATTCAGAAGGCATATGATCACGTGAACTGGGGGTTCCTTAAATACATGCTAAGGAGATGCAGCTTTGGGGAAAAGTAGTGTAAGTGGATTCAATTCTGTATCTCTATTGTTTCATTTTCAGTCTTGGTTAACGGCACTCCGAAGGGTTATTTTCGAAGCAGCAGAGGTTTGAGGCAAGAGGTTCCTTTGTCTCCATTGCTGTTTGTGATTGTTATGGAGGCATTCAGTAGGATGATTGAGAAAGCTGTGGGAGAAGGTTCGATAAGGGGTTTTACGGTTGGACACCTACAGGTCTCCCATTTGCTATTTGCAGATGATATGCTGTTCTATGTGTGCAGATAATGATACGCTGTTCTATGTGTGCAGATAATGAGCAATTCAGAAACTTGCGTCAACTACTTCTATGCTTTAAAGCGGTGTTGGGATTGAAGATTAATTTGGGAAAATTTGAGGCTATTCCAATAGGAGAGGTTGTAAATGTGGATGAGTTGGCCGATATATTGGGTTGTAGGGTTACGCAGTTGCCCATGTCATACCTTGGGCTTCCTTTAGGGGGCAAAGTTTAAATGTAAACATATTTGGAGTGGAATTGTCAAAAGGGTGGAAAAGGGGTTAGTGAGGTGGAAGCATATCTACCTTTCGAAAGGAGGCCGTCTTACCATCATAAAATCTACATTCTAATTTTCCAACTTATTTTTTGTCACCGTTTCCCATTTACAGTGACAAATAGATTAGAGATGATTCAAAGGGAGTTTCTTTGGGCAGAGTTAGGGGAAGAGAGGAAATTTCATCTGGTCAATTGGGGTGATTTGTTCTCCCGTAAGAATGGGGGGTCTTGGATTGAGGAGCCTTATTCTGTTTAACAAGGCTTTATTGGGCAAATAGTTGTGGCGATTTGGAGTGGAGAGAGAGTTTTTGGAGAGAAATCATAGGAGTGAAGTATGGTGTGATGGAAGGGGGTTGGTGCTCAATCGAGGGTTATGGATCTTATGGGGTGAGGCTGTGGAAGTATATCTGAAGAGGATGGAACAAATTTCGAGATGAATTGACTTATGTGGTGGGAATGGCAACAGTATCAGATTTTGGGATGATCGTTGGTGTGGAGATCATCCTCTGAAGGCACGATTTTCTTCTTTGCAACGCATTGCCTTGGAATCGTCCACTATGATGAATGATGTAATAGCCATACATAATGGAAGTTATAGCTGGAATATTGCTTTTAAGAGGGGACTCCAAGATTGGGAATTGAATGATTATGCACTGTTTTTTACTTCCTTGCACGAGACGCATATTTAGGTAGGAGAGTATGATCATAGCAGGTGGAGGTTGGAATGGGATGATATTTTTTCAGTTTGCTCTTATTTTAGATCCATATTCGGCTTGATGGAGAGTTCATTTCCTGGAAGATAGTGTGGCAATGTAAATTGCCTCCATGGGTTGCTTTCTTATTATGGACGGTTGTAATGGGGCAGGCGTTAACGGTGGACATTCTTCGAAGAAAAGGTTTTTGTGTTACTGAGTGGTTATATGTGTAAAAGAGATGGGGAAACGATTGACCATTTGTTCATCTATTGTGATGGTGTTCGATGGATGTGGAACAGTATTCTTGTTTCTTAACATTTGGATTGAGCGATGCTTAGGCGTATAGAAGATGTGTTGCGGGCATAGAAGAGAAAATTTCGAGATAAAAATAGGAGGCTTGTGTGGAGTCTTATTCCGGGATGTATTGTATGGTGTGTGTGGAGAGAAAGTAACACCCGCTGTTTTGAAGACCAAACAAGAACAATAAAACAGATTAGAGAATTGTTTTATATGACTCTGTATCCTTGGTTCAATGCTACGGCCACTAATCATATAGAAGGGCTGCTTAACTTTGTCTTTTCTTTCTTATTTATTTTGATAATATACCCCCAATGTATTATCCTAATGATTAATAAAATTATATGATTACTTATCAACCAAAAAATTAAAAAAATAAAAAAATCTATCACATACGTTAAGCTATTAAAGAATTTAATGAGCGGCAGCATATCTACAACTTTCTTATTTTTTTAACCAAGCTAATTTATAAGTTTTACGTTATCATTCAGTAGAGAGACAACATTTGCACCATCTCTTCGGGGATGGTATTCACTAAATTCTCCGAGTTTTGAACGGGCAAACCTTCCCTCTATGTTACAAGTTGGTTGGAAAATGGTGTTGCGTTAAGTGTTGGCTTCATTACTTTTATGGGTGAGACATGAGCGACGCATCAAGGATCCATCTGACTTCCCAACTCATTCTTCCGGTGGGACCTCATCTTTCCAACATCAGATAACGGTGCTCTTTCATATTCTTCTCTTTCCACTTTGTCAACAAATAATGCCCTCTTAGAACAAATCTATGCCAACTCTCTACAGGTAAAGCAGTGAGGTCCACCCATGTGTATCCCGCCTCACCATTGGTTGTCCTATTGCTTGTTGGATGATTTGCTTCTCGAGTTGTATGGTCCTTTGGTGCGACTCTAAAATAGAAATAAGTGTTTTACCTTAACATGTATCTTTAATGTTGTTAGAGCCAATAGTTGGAAACCTCTAATGAAATATATGTCAACATATTGCACCCTATGCCTCAAGTTATGTGCTAGTCATTGAAATGAAGGCATTTTTTAGGTGATTCTTCATCTCTGTCCATGATTCAATCTTAGGTTCATCGCTCCGTGCACTGACGAAATTTAGCTAGTCAAGGAAGTCATTAGCGGCTAGGCTATCGTGAAACTTTGGTAAGTCCAATTTCAGCCCCAACTCCAATTGCCTTTCGTCACTGTAAGCCTTGTTAATTACATTCGGCAAACGGATTTACATACCTTTCTAAGATGAAGAATTTCCTCCATGGAGTGTAACTGGTCAAGGAAATCATGTGCGTCTAGGCTAGCATGAAACTTAGGTAGGTCCAATTTCAGCCTCTCACGTCTTTCATCATTGTGATGATCGGGGTCTTGCACTCACTCTCTTTACGACCAAGATCAGGAGCTGAGTTGAGAAAGAGGGCTAGGCCCCGAGAGGGCTTTCTGGGGAGGGTGGATTATAGAGCTAGAGGCAAATCGAAGGTTTGTCTTTGGCAAACATGTTTTCGTGACTTTGTCCACTTCAATTTCACTATCCGTGCTAGGGTCGGAAGGTAACTCACGTGAACCCCTAGTGTTGCGCCCATCTTGTATCGCGGTTGTGCCATCCTCTGCGCATTCATTCGAATTACCGTGTGCGAACCCCACCCTGTGCTTCGTGCTCACAAAGCCCACCCATTGTGCCCAAGCTACCTAATATTAGGCGAGTTGCATGGAAACAAAATGCGACATGACGTGTGGAAATGTTACTCTTGTAAAAGGTGGGAATAAATAATACAGGGAAACAATATATAAAAAATTATTAATTTATTTTGTTAAATTCGATGTGTAACTTTACAAAACTTTCATATTAATTAAAAATGATGAAAATACCATAGTCGTATAATCTAATTCAACGGGTAAACGAGTTCTCGAATTAAATTTCCTTTAAATACATCACTGATATCAATATCTATAACAAATCACCATCCTCTGTGCATAATATGGCCTCCATTTTTTGGTTGGAGCATGTAATTAAGTTTTTCTTTGGTTAAAGTTTTCGAATGTTTTCATCCAGAGTTTCCCTCAGGTTTCTGAATTTCAGCCGGAAACAATTTTTGTAGTTTCCAAAATGTTAATAGTTTCTGTTTTTGAAACGTGTCAAGAACGGAAACTATAGAGGTTTTTGTACCATCCTAACTTGGGCCATTAGCATGAACATTTGATGCGCCAAGAGATCCATCTATTATCCAATCTGAGTCAACTCTTCCCAATGTCAAACTTCCTCAACATAGGCATACTCTTGGTGCCATCCCTTGGAGAAAACTTCTCTCTACCAATATGGTGTAGCGCTACAAATAAGATAATGAACTATCAATAATGAAACTGTTGATTCCCGCAAATGCCGGTTCAATTCAATAATATGAAATGGAATAACAATCCATGGCAAAGATGTTTGATTAATTGCAGAAAAATGGGTGCTGATATGTTATGATGTGGAACTTGAAGCAAGAAGGTAATAAATGAATTAAGCTAGATTTATTAAGGGGAAAGATAAAAAGAAGCTAGAAAGGAAATAAAGCTATCATCTTTGATCCCGCACTAATTTCAGCATCTTTAATTTAGCAGTATTCCACCAGACCTATAATTGATTCAATCCAGCAGGAATGAATCACCAATTTATTTGTTTCAGCAACTGCAACATTCAATTTAGCAAAAGATTCCTTAATTGCTCTTGTTGGTTTTGGGTGTTCCCACCTATTTAATTCTCGTTCTGCTTTGCTGATCGCATCATGTCGACTTGGGTTTTGAGGTTTAGAAGGATTAATTCATGAGTTGCGGGTGAATTAGGACAGTGGATCCTTGATTTTGAGCTAGGTTAATGTTGTAAAATGGGAATAGGCTATTGTTTTCACCCAAAGAATATGGAAAAAAGCCCTGTATCAGAACATGGTTCACTAATTTTGACAGGTTCTGTTGGCGGAAAGGTGCTGACCTCTGAATCTCTGATGCTCAGACTCTTTAAAATAGTCGGAGTACCCGTGTTGAACAAAACAAGACATGAGTATGAGTATGGAATGTGTTAGATCCTCCAAATTTCAACCGGACACTTCGTCGTTTTTGCTTCTTCTATCTTCTTTCTTTTTTCTCTCTTTTCCTTTACTTTCTCTTTTCTTCTTTCCCGTTTTCGCTCTCTATAAATTTAACGTCGCCCTCGAGAGGGTGGAGAAGGACGGCGGCGCTAGGTTCTTCCTTCTTTTCCTTCTTTCTTTTTTCTTTCCATTTTCTTCTCTCTTTTTTCCTTTTTTCTCTCTCTGTAATGGTGGTTCAGGGTTTCGTTTGAATAAATGGGTTCCATATAGTGATACTTAGTAGTCCACTAAGTCCAAATTGTAATCAAATTCCTCATTTTATATTTTATAGAACATTTAGTAATTTTCATGATTGAAAGCCAAACTTCAAATTTCTGTTTTATTTGTCTTAACCCCTTATTCAATACTTATTTTTTTCTTTGTTAATAATTTATTTTGGTCTATTCAAAATGACATTTTGGATTAGTAAAAAATTGAAGTTTGAAAGAAGTACATATGCATTCGTGTCCAAAATTTGGACTATTTTTAGCTATGTTTCTGTATCCTACATTTTAGAAAATAAAAGATCCGACACTTAAATACGTATCCGTACCCGATACCCTTGCCTGAGTCCGAGCATCAGCTGCTTTCCAAGTGCACCCTCCCCCCTTCCAGCATATTGTAATTTGTCCTTTGCTTTGAAATGAACAATGAGGAGCATTGAGATGTAGTTGAACCACTCAGGTGGATTTTGAGAAGTTTTATAAAATTTGTTTGTTTTTTCAGGAACTGCTGAGAAGAGGAGAAACTGCTACCTGAGCTATTTAGTTTGTTTCTGCATTTCTTGATCTGTAATATATTTTGACTCTTATCCTTGAAGACACGACCTTGGTCATTTTGCATAGTATGTGAAGATTGAAGGTGTAGAGTGTTTCCTCTATTTCAGTATAGATGTACATTCAAATTAAGTAGGTGAAAGGTTGTCTGAATCGATGAGCTTAAACATGAGTTAACATCAAGTGATGGTGTAACCATTTTTTCAATATAAGATATTTCTCCAGTTCTTGTATAATGTTGCTCCTTGCAGAGAGAAGCTGTTTTTCTCATCTCATTTCTTTAGCCTCTCAGGTTGGATACTTCTTTTGGATGACTGAAGCAGTAGTTGTACCAATTTTGGATGTCATACTTTGAACTTCATCTTTTAATTATTCTTCTTCTTATCTTTTGTCCAGCGAATATGAGTAGACCCAGAAATTAAGGAACTCATTAAATTTTTAGACCACCATGAACAACTTAATTTTTTCACGTTTTAGAACATGTTATCAGTTCAGTTTCGTAATAGAGGGCTGGAAAGGGAGAAATGTTATAGGAATTGTGGTAAAAAAATCCGTGCAATGTTAAAAGGCCAACTTCAGATCAGTTATTGGACTTTCATGTGTTCTTGCCTTGATTTAGATCCCTGTTAGTGGCCCCTGTTGAGTAGCATTAGTGTTGATGAATATGACAAATGTGCAGGGAAGAGAAATTTGTGTTAAGAAAAAAGTGGCGGAACTAATTTAATGAATCTCCTATTACTACAAGTCTATTTATGTTTTCAAGTCATCGTGATGACTCATTTAGAAAGTTGCATTAGATATGATGCTGTTAAACTTATAGCTTGTTTGGTAGAGATTTTGAGAATTGATTTTTTGACCGTTAGAGATAAAGTAGATCTTGCCTGTGAAAGAAGAATTCAAAAATAACGGTTGGAATATTGAAATAAAGGTCAAAAAATTGATTTTATTGACTTAAAATTTAAACCAAACAAGTACTTATTGTCAATCCAACGTGCCATACCAAACCTGTCGCAGGTTTTAGTGTCAACTCAATGGGACATACCAAACCTGTCAATTCAGTGTCTATTTATGAATGTTATTAAAATTGTTGAAATAAATGTCCTATATCGCCAGGGGCAATTAAATAAAGGTAATCACAGGTGTGATAAATAAAACCATTCGTCAAATATATTATAGCAATACAATGCTCTATCAAGGGCATATTGAAGAATTTTATTGTACAGGGAAGTACCACAAATTCATTTGAAATCTAATGACCGTGAACTTACACTATTTGTTTGCAGTACAACTCCAACAGATTTTGAAGAGGCAAGCCAAGATAAAACTCGAGGTACTTGAATATCGTTATTCAGTGGGCTGGACTTCCTAGATGCATGAAACACAAATGTGAATCATAGAACCGCCACCTACCCAGTTGGTTTCCTCTTTCTCCCTAGAAGAGGGGCTATCTGGAGTCGAGGTCCACCCATCCGCCACTTTTTAAATGCAGCTATTGAAGATTGACCAGCCTCGTACACTTCAAAATAAATAACCATGAAATATTTACTGTGAAGAACGGAGATCTGTAAAAAAATTGGATATATAATACACACAAGCATCATTTACTGGTTCTACAAACTTACATTTAGCTTCTTCATTGGTTAGAAGTGTCAAGTACTTGGGAGCCACGGCCAGTGTCAAGTTGTGGGCCTTGATCAAGACTTCCTTGTATCTGATCCGAAATGCAACGAGAAGGAACGGCCCTATGGTTTTGTCACCGATACTGTTCATTAAAAAAATACAAGCTAAATGTTAACTCTATAATTATTTATCTAAAACAATTTCAATTAAGATGCTTATAAATCATTCATATCCAGAATTGTAGAATGGAAAAGGATCGAGGAAAGAAAGCAATCCCAAAAGATTCGGTTCCCCTTATTCTAAATGCTTCATGCTACTGCCATGCATCTCCAAGAAATTTTACATCCGGACTATCGCATAATGCTATATATACTGTGAGACAAACACATTAGGGGATGGTGCAAACACAGCAATTTCTTCATGAAAAGCAAACAATTGTCTACACTACGACAATATAATAAACTCTGCAAATGCGCATTACCATGACAACAGGTAACACAAACAAAAGGAGTTAGTTTCTGCTTGCATCATGACAGAAGCGTCAGCTTTTAGGACCAACGAGCTTGTGAAAGCATTTAGCTTGTAGGAATTAAATATATATTTAAATGAAATATTCCAAGCAAACAAGGATGGAGTCTAGTTGGGCAGGACAATATAAGAGGAGATTACATGAGAATATGGCACACTCTTCTTGATTCCAAAAACGATCAAAAGACATTTGCTATTAGTTTTGTATCTGGTTCCATTTGCTGAACATGCCATACTCCTACCACCACAAAATGGGTAATAATAAAGTTTCACCAATCTCTTATGTACTATTATTTAACCCTAAGCAGCCTATGTCACTTTGCGTTACAAGGGCAACCAGTGTTATAAGCAGATATTTTCATTTGTCCTGCATTCATTATCAATCTAATTTTTTTTCTATCATGTGCAGGCAAACAAAGACAAAACAAATTAAACAGGATTAGCTTAATCATAATGCATTTATTGCATAAGCAAGATCCAATCTCAAATTTGATTCTATGTTGAATATTCCTTCTTAATGATACCACTGGGTCATACAAAACTGATGAGCAGCCCATGATTACAGTATACCTATAAACCTTGAGATCCGACATGAATTCAGATCCTGAAAGCATTGCTATGAATTTTAGCTGATATTTTAAATTGAAATATGTCCAATTCAACTACAGAACAAAGAATCTAACAAAAGTTGAGTAGTGCTGAGCCAGGAGATCTTCCTTTGGATCATTACAACGCACTAAGGCCAAAGGGTAATTGCAACAATAGATGATCAAATTTGGTGGCTCTATAATTTTTCTGAACTAAGATGTACTGAACTAGTTCTCTCTCAGTAACAAAGTTTTATTCAGATGAAGCATTAGATGCAGTCATGCAGCTACATTCATACTAATTTATGTCCCTGGAAACATGCTAATGATACTTATAATGCCAAATATTACATGGTTTTGAATATTTATATGCAATTGCTGAACAAGAGAGAATTTTCCATACAAGGTTTATGTTACTGAATTTGGTTCTTTTCCCCTTTTGTTGTGTGTCAGGGTGGATATTTTTGCACGCTATCAAGTGACCTGACGGAAAACCCTAGAGTAGATCGAATGCCTACAGGATACACCCAGGCATTCAAGACACCAAAGTTAAAGAAACTCACAGTGGTGCAATCTTGCATCCTAATTCATAAAAGTATGGACATCTACTTCTTAGATCCACGTGTGCAGCATCAGCCCCAATTTCCTCCCGTGTTTTGGATCTGGAAAAATGAAACATAAGAAAATAATCAATTTCATATTGCAAGAAACAGATATAGAAGGAAATAAACTAGTGAACCAGTAATTTTACCATGAGATGTAGTACAATAGTAAAATTCAAAGTAAGTAAGCTCGGTGCTCACACATTGATCTTGTTAAACAGGGTAGAAAGTCACGATAGTTCTTTTGTGCAGAATGAAAAGTAAACCATCAAGCCCCTTTTGCCTCCCAGTATACGATGGAATCATGGTCAACGTGTACAATAAAGTAGCAAACCAAAAACAGCCCCTGAATTTTCACCTAATTATTGCAATAAAGATGTGCAAGTTGGGTTATTGAGTTTCCTGAGGCAAATTCTAAAAACCATTTCATTAAGGCTCCATTTAGGATCTTAAATTCAAAGAAACTACACAGGAAAATCACTTAAAAACAAATTTACCATATGCCTCACCCACTTCAGTAAAATTTTGAATTGAAGGCATTGCAATGAAAGTTTTTCAATGTGTAGAGGAAGTTAGGTGTATTCTAAAATTAATTAATTTCAATTGTTTACTTTTTCATTTTTCTTCTTGCTTCCTATGTAATGCAATAAGATAATATTCTCTTCACAATCCTTCTGATTTCTGTAGAATAGGTTTAGGGTATTTTGCATATACATAGATGGGTCATCAAGTCAGTACTTTATTCAGTTTATTCATGAAAAAAAAGGGCATAGAAATATAAGATACAGCTAATATAGTATTACTCTTTGTCAAAACATGGTGGGACCATAATGGAGACAAGTTGCCTCAAATACAACTCACAAACCAGCCAGAAGGGCAGTTCTACTTTTGATCCAGCTTCCACCTGAAGTGGGTAAAAGGGCCATGAATTAGCCAATGAATACTACTTGAAGTCTTTAAAATAATAATAAAAAACTAAAAGAATAGCCTACTTTCTACCAGCTTAGATTGAGATTTGAAGAGGTAACGTGACACAACCTCTCCCGGACAATGAAAGATTTGTAAATGTACCTTATTTGTATCATCACTAGAGTCAAAAAGCCCAACCCCATTTGCAGCATGTTGAAACACAGCTGGAACAAGCTAACATAACAGTAAAATACAAAAATCAGCAGTAACTCTCAACTATAAATTATATAGACATGCTTCTATTCAAGAATTTTCACCTCCTCTTCTGCCAATATGTCATCAATGTTATAATATTTTGCCATTCTGAGTGGAAACTTGAGCTTAGAATCTATCAACTATACCAGTTTGCCAATCCTGCAATTTGTTGACAGCTGAAAAAATATAACTGAACTGTAAAATGCAAGTGTATAGCACATTCAATTTCCGAGCTTTAAGAAATGCATGCATGAACTTAGGTAAGCACATATTATTAATATTCTTGCATGTATGTGTGTACACAATCTAAACTTGTTAACAGACCAAAACTAATCTCAGTGTGTAAAGCAATATAACAAGAATTTATCTTGGAAAAAGAGAGAGAGAGAGAGAGAGAGAGAGGAGGAAATAAGCATACGTTAATAACACATTATACATACACTCGTAAAAAAGAGAGAATAACCTCACAAACACAAAAAGGGAAAGAGCACAGAGCCCTTTGAGAATAACCTTAAATTATAAAATTAGACTTGACACTTTCGAGCGAAAGAGACCGCATGTGCATAAACATAAAAATTGAAAAGAAAAAACTCACATACAGATGGATGGGTGGAGCCAGAAATTGAGTCCAATAGGAGCATGACCTTACTACGAATATTCAATGTGAATTTAAAGTCTTTTTTTTCAATAGAAAGTGGAGATATTCGTCTTGAATATCTCTCCATAACTTTTTCACATTGAATTATCACATTTGATGTGCACAAAAGTTGTATCCCAGTCTCGAGCCTTCACGCACAGCCTGAGGTGTTTACCCTGAGCATACATCTTCCCCAAAACCCTCATAAATGTGGTCGGGCTTGTCCCCTAAGGTCAGGCTGGTATGATCGAGCCCTATTAAGGTTGGGCCCACATAATCAAAATATTACTCTTCATGCCCTTATCTCTTACCTTTTAATGTTTTAGTCCTTCCATAACTCAAATGCTCTACATCCATCCTTATCCAAATATCTAACCTATTGCAGTCCAAGTCAAACTTCATGAGGTAATTGTAGTATAACTCAAATCACTCTATATGATAAGAATAAGGACTATTGGTGGTTGAATCTGTAGAATACTGGTTTATTAGGAATTAATTTAGTATGATTGATGTACCTTATATAGTTATTTCCTTAGTTAGGTAAAGATATTAGCTTTCCTTAGGGGATTGTATTTCCATATTCATATGTATTTAGTTGTATAACGGTATGTTCATAGGGATGAAATAATACAATACACACAAAAATTATTGTGTAATTCCTCAGTTTTTACATGGTATCAGAGCTAGGCGTCAATTATCCTAACACTCAAAGAGTCATACTCAGATGGAGAAAATGCATCACAAATCTTTGAGATTAAGACTCGATGGGGGCAAACTAAACAAGGAGAAAAAGAAGTCACAGATTATCAGGGGCGGAGCCAGGATTGGCGTTCAGTGCGGGCACAATTTTGTCCACGCCGAACATTGAGTTTTTAATCATCGATGTAATGATGATAAAAATATAAAACAATATTACGAAAATACTTAAAATGACCTTCAAAGCTACCTGGCCCTCCCGCCGTCCATAATAGGAAATTCAATCAATAGAAATCGTATTCATTTTCTTTGAAAGAATCTCTTCATTCCATCTCTGTATTTAAACATTATAGCTATTAAGATTTAAGAATGTTTTCAATTCACAGTGCAATGCAAATAGCAATAATTACTGGAAAGTCTGGAATCAATTCACAGAGTAAGCAATTAGCAACTCACAGTTACAGAATTACAAAATGCTTTCATAGTCACAGAGAGGTAGCTTTAGCATTTAGCAATGTGGAATGGAAGCAGGCTTCAGTCACAGAGAGAGAGTAAGCAAACTCACAGTCACAGAGTACATCGAGACTTGAGCAGGCTTCAGGATTCACCGAATCAGGCTCGAGGGCTTCACAGGCCTGGAACTTCTAGGTCTAATTTCAAGAGCAATTCAAAAGTAATTCAATAACAATTCAAGACTTCAAGCAATTCAAAAGTAATTTCATATGTTAAAAAGAAAAAATTACAACAGTATACAAAACACAAAGCAAAATAAGTAACTAACAGAAAAACAGTTAAGAACTTGAGTGCGGTTTAGGAATCAGAATCAAGCGGCTTCACCTTCTTCTTCTGCCGTCGAATCGTTGGTGGAAATGTAGATTCGAAGAACTGCTGCCGGCTGCCCGGCTCGAAGGTGCTGCGTCTAGGGCTCGAACGTCGGAGGCCGGTGGAAATGTGGAATCTTCCCTGAGCGGCAGATCGAGAAGTACAAAGTCGAGGTCGGCGGAGACGGGAGAGTGTAAGTGGAACTTGTGAAGAATGAATTTTGAATATTGAATGGGTTGAAAAATCGGGTTGGAATGAAATGTATTGGAAATTTGGGCTTCTTCACTTTTGGTTTTGGGCATTATCAACGTGTGGGCTCTAGCTTGATAAAAAAAGAGAAAATTACACCTAGACTTGTTTTAAAACTTACATTTCATTGGTCAGATTTTAAGTTTAACCTTTCATAAATCATGTTATAATTTTTTTTTTTTTACATTTATTAATAAATATACTAGTAATAACCACTCATTAATTAAAATTACATATCATTTTATTTTCTCTCCCTACTCATACATTTTCTCTCACTACTTACACACACTCGTAAATCAGATTTGACAATGGTGGGAGGCAATAGCGTGGTGGTTGCTTGCAGCGTTGCAGAGGAGAAATAGTGTGATTGGTTGAGCTCTAGTGTTTCGGAGGGTAGAGAGGCCAGATTTTTAGCCGCCGCCAACTCTGATCACCACTGCAGTTAAATATGTGTGTATTGATGCAAGATAACGACGGTGCAGGAAGAGGAGAAGTCAGTCGACCACAATTTAGGAAGGGATCTACGCCAACTGTGTGGAGACAGGCGAGTATAGATAGTCTGGTGATAGATGCTTTGAACTGATGAAAGTTTAGTAAATCGGAGGAAACGAGCGGGTAAAATTGTGGTTGCCGAAATCTCGTGAGAAAAGGTTGTTGAATGACAGGATCTCAAGTTTGGTAAAATTTTTGAGTAATGGCTCATCTAAAGAATCAACCGTCAACATCTCCATGGTGGAGCCTCCTTCTCAATGTCCGGGATGTCATGAATTAGAAATTACCAAATTCCCTAAACCTATGTCGTACAATCACAAAAACAATAAAAAAAAAAAGTGATAATACAATTAACTGTAAATCTGCAAACAAAATCACAAAATGTATAATCTAGAAATTAAATTCTGGAAAATAGAATACAAATTCACGACTTACCTGAAATAGATGCAGCAAATTGAAAATTTGGAAACTAATAAATAAATCCTGAGTAAACCCTATTCTTTTGTAACTTGGGTTTTTTTTTTCTTTTTCCTTTTTTTTTGACGTCAATTACAGCTATGAAGTATTTGATAAATAATGGTTTCAAGAACGCGTGAAAAGAATTCTCATGTCAATTTAAGAAAGGTACCTGATAAATTGAAAGAGAGTTCAAACAGGAATAAAATTATTACACTAAGCCGGTTTGTGACTTTTTGTGGGGTGGTGTGGTTTCGAGGTTGGGTCGTAGTCTCGATTTTTTGTGACTTTTTATGATTAGATTTGCGACTATATGTGACTTGATTATATACAGTCACAAATTAGACTAATCTAATCACGGCCGGTCACGATGAAGCTAACTTGGGTCACATATAATACAGGATAGTGATGGTAGTATTTATGGTTGTGGATTTGAGTTGAAGATGGTAGTGGTGGTGTATTAAAGGTTATGGTGGTGGCGGATTATGGGGTTGGTTTGTGGTGTGTGCATATTTGTTTTTGGTGATACTCTATGACTAATTATGTGTTTATTACAATTGGTTGTGACCAATTTTGTGTTAATTGTGGTCGATTGTGACTTGATCACATACCATCATGGTTAAAATTGACCTGAACACATACACTCACATTGAAGACAAATTTAGTCACAATAAAGACAAAGTTAGTCACAAATAGTTATAGATAACACACGTAAGTGACTTGGTTGCGTACAATCATAAAAAGTCACACTGAAGACAAATTTAATTACGGTTAGTTACAAATAACACAAGTTAGTAACTAGTTTTCACAAAATTCAAAAATGAAACCAAAACCGATCAATTGCAAATTTAGAAGGGAAAGAGAAATAAGTTTGGAACAAGAAATTGTGAGATTAAATTTGTGAAATTTGTGAATAGAATAATGGGACGACAACAAAAGAGCAAATGCTTGAGTGAAGCAGTCTATGCGTGTAAGAACTGATAAATGTGCATTAAGGAGGTGTTTGATAGACATTTTTATGTAAAAATAAATTTTAAAATAATAACTTGATGGGAAGTGTGTGGTTGAAAAATAAGAAATTTTTTTTTATTTACGTGTAATATTATTTTAATAAAGAATGTGTGGTTGAAAAAAAGAAAGAGAAAAATGCATTTTGAAAAAAATGGGTATCAAACAGGGCTAAATATTCATGTTTTGTGATAAATTTTGACTAAGAAAATTATCCAAAATTGAATATTCATGTTTGTTACGGCAACATTAAATATTAATGTTTCATAATCACTTCATGAATTATACAAGGTTCGAAAATCAACAACCGAATTAATTTGTGATTGAGAAATAAGTCCTAATTAATTAATTTGATAAATTATGCAGGAGAAATAACTTGTGATTTATTGATTGTATGTTTTGTGTAGTATATGACTAGGTTCTATTTAATAGTGACTATTTGTGAGCTGGACTGTGTAAGGTATTATGGTCTATGACCATATTTGTGTAAGATGTTATTATTTGTGATCAAATTTGTGTTATCTGTGACTATTTGTGATTGACTCAGTATTCATTGTGACTGTTTATGATCAAATTTGTCTTATTCGTGTCTGTAAGTGACTAAGTCCGTGTTAACAATGAAATGCGTAACCAGACATTTATTAGAAGTTATTGTTTGTAACATAACATGTTTACCTTGTAAAACTAATGACCATTTATATGTTAATTGTAATCTTCTATGATTAAGTCAGCGTTAATTGAAGCCTTTCGTCACCAAGTCTATGTTAAATATGACCTGTTGTGACTGAGTTCGTCTTCATTGTAACTGATTGTGAATAGATTTGTTTTAACTCTGAGTGTATGTGACTAAGTCTCTGTCAACGATAACATGTATAATCAGACATCTGTTAACCGTGAATGTTTATGACAAATCATGTATACATTTGAAGTTCATGATAATTTATATGTTAACTGTGATTGATTGTGACCAAATTTTGTGCTAATGGTGACCGATTTTGACCAAATATGACTTCATTATGATTGT